AATATGTGCGAGAAAAAATTTTTTTATTTATTTTGTATCTTTTATTTCTTTTTTTTGCCAAGCAAAAAATCTATTACTAATTTTCGTTCTGAAAAAAACCTCGCGCAAATTTTATCAAGGCAAGTAAAGAAGTTTTTTTTTTGAAAAGTTGTTTTTAAGATCTGCTGTTCTTAAAGAGGAACTGTTACGTACCTTTCTTATATAACAAGTAACAAATACTAACTAACTACTTGGATCAAGTTCTACATGCCTTGCGAATAGTTAGATTATGAGTTCTGAGATAATTAACTAATTTGCAGTTCACTTTGCGAATAGTTGATCTTGGTACCTACTAATTAACTACTTGGTGATTTTTCACATTGCGAATAATTAGACTAAGCTAGCTAACTACTTAGCGGATTACATTGCCAATAGCTAGATTTGGTTTTCTTAAGCTAATTAATACTTGATGTTTTAAATTATGAATAGCTAATTCAGTGATCTTTGCGTTAACTAACTAATTGGTTGAATTTGCACCTTGCGAATAGTTAACATCTGATACTCTTTTTATGTTGCTTAGTTTATTAACATGTATTTAATTTTATAATTAATTTTTTTATTAGTCATGGAATTTGCTTATATTACGGAATATTTGAAGGTAGTTGAATACACCCAATGGAATTTACTTGGAGCACTTCGATATGTATTAAGCAAAACTGAATTTACGAGCAGTGATATAAATGTAATCTATAAAATGTTCAAGCAACATTTAGAAAGTAGAGCAGAAGATAAGAATTTATTAAAATCAGCACAAAATAAGGCTCGACAGGTTTTTCAAGAGTTATACATAAGTGATCAGCAATCAAAGAATTTCTCGATAGCCAAGATTTAAAATTAACCAAGGTTAGTCATACCATACGAATCCGTTTTTAATATTTACTGATAAAGTTAAATTAATATATTGCTGTAGGATAATGTCGAGTATGGTCATAATATTTTTAAAGAGAGAAGAAATAACAAATTGTTTGTATTTTTAATGTTATTATTAAAAGAACTTTATTTAAAGGCAATAGAATGTTTCTAAATTTTATGTATTACAAACAAACTTTATAGGCTGATTCAATTTCATGAAAGAATGTGATAAGATTATGCTACCCTTTACAAATAAAGTAGATTTTGTGACATAACCATTAAGATCAGCGATCAAACATTCATGGCACATTATTTAATCCTATATGCAAGATCTTCTTTTTTTCGTAATGCCTTATCAAAAAGCATAGATCAATATGAGATTATGATTCCTAACATCACCTCTAAGGCGTTCGAAGGGTTACTAAAGTAGGTACAATATATTTTTTTTAAAAAAAAACACAATGTTCTTTAATTATCAATTTATCTTTTTATATTATAGGTAAATTATTGTAGAACTATCATTTCATTAGCCGACTCTGAGGTATTCGATTTTTTATACGTGACGATTAAACTTAAGTAAGATGAAATTGTAGAGTATTTGAAAAGTATAACGAAAATTGTATTGCAATTGTAATATTTCGATCAGTCAATGAGTGCCAATGGCAATTAAGTTGCCCAAATTTTGTTTAAGCTATTATTCTGATAGAAGAGAAAAAATTTGTTTATATGAATGACGGAAAAATTTATATTTTATTTGTAAAATTAAAATTGTAAGAGAAAATTTTTTTGTATTTTTTTTTATCGATTCACAAAAATTTGTGCTATTCATTTTTTTTTAAAAATAAATTTTCTCAAAATGTAAAATTAATAAAAAATACAATTAATTTTTAAAAATAAATAAATTATAAAGAATTTATAATTCCCAATATACAATAAACTAAAGCAATAATCATTAAAGCAAGATTATTTTGAATATTTAATGAGGAAGAACTGAAAATATCTTGACCAAAATTATCTATATCATTATCATTATTATTTTGAAAAGGATTATAATTTGTTGGTGGTATCGTTTGTTGTGATGGAGGACCAGTAACAATTTTGATTACACTGTTTTGATTTCAGTTATAACATAAGTAGTCTTGGTTAAAATATCTTTCGTATTACTTTGCTGGATAGTTGTTGTTGATACAGGAGTTGTTGATTCTGCAGTTGTTAATGATGGTAATAGTAAAATTAATGGTGAAGTTGGTGATGGTGATGAAAGGATTTTGTAAACTTTGAAATTATTTTCTAGTAATTTTTTAGCAGGACATCTAAAATTGTTTGAAGAAATATCAATTTAGCTAATATATATTACATTATATTACATACTCACTATTACAAGTTTGAAAATATCATCTCACCCCAAAGTTTCCAATAAAGAAATTAATTTAAGACCAAATAGACTAAGAAATTTACCCATAAAGTCTTCTAATGTCTTACCGTTTGTTAAAGTTGAAACCATTAAGAAATTCTTGGTGTTAGCATAAATACTAGCATTAAAATTATTCATACTAACACCATTTTGATAAGGATTTAATGAGGTTTCTAAAATGTTCACATCATCATCAGATTTGGATCCTCTTAGTTGAAATCCTAAAGTAAATAGATTAACACTGACGTTTGCTATCCTTTGAGCCGATTCAATTTGTGGTGATTTAACAAACTTTGCGATAAATTCTTCTTGATCTTTAAATTTAACATTAGGTTCTTTAACGAATTCATCAATTGATTTAGCGGTCTCATTAATTGATTGAATCTCTTTATCACGAAATATTCTAAACCACCACCATTATCTTTTGACAAAGTTAGTTGTGGTATTAAAATTTTAAGGGTCATATTAGCAAAGATCGGTCATTCAATTCAACTAGTTTTTACACCTAATGCATTAATAAATTCCTTTAAAACTATCATTCTAAAATCTATTTGATCCAATGTTATCTGTGGATCCCCCTCAAACTATTATGAAATAGCATTTCCTCCATTAAACACAGCACGTATCTCAACATCGCAAAATTCATAATGTTGATCACAATCAAATTGTTTTATAAGAGCTGTTGGATATTCTCGAATCATGTCATTATCATCTAAAAGTTCTATAGTACTGGCAAATTCCGCATTCTCTAATTCATTACATGGTTGTTTAGCATCAGTAAGGCATAAATTTTTCAATGAGATATCGACTTTAATGTTCGTCTTTAGACTTAGGTTTTTTGTTAAAATATCACAGACCTTTTATATCGATCGTTACGCTTTTGCACATAAATCTTGATTGGTTTGAATTTCACATTTATAATTGATTATAAATTTACTTGTTTCAATTGGAACTTTTATCGGTAGCATTGTATTTCAATCTTTTCGACCAGTTTACATGATATTAGAATCCTTGCGTTTAGATCCAACGCATCCGTATAATCATAACATTAGGCTGAGATCTCTTTAATTGATGTTAAACTTTCAATAAATCATAAAAGAAATGATAATAACGATATCTTCATAATTGAATGAATGTAGTGCAGAAATATGCGAATGAGTCAGTTTTATGGTTGAAATAATCAATATTTCAACTTTTATAATGTGATTTACTTTTTTAAGAAATATTTTGAAAATTCTTTGAAATATTTATAGATTTTATAAATGAATGAAAGGAAAACGTGAATTAAATCAATAGAATTATTGTCATCACAACTTGATATTAATACTTATTAGAATTAACCTTTTTAATGATTAATAAAATGGATCAAATAAAAGTTTAAGTAAATATTCTTATAGCTTTAATTAAAATGACTTTAAAAAGAATTATTTTAATAATAATGATTGAAATAATCTTAATATAAGTTATATATTAATTATATATTAATTTTATTATAAAATTTAAAATTTAAAATAAAATAAGTTAGAATTTATTAATAAATAATAATTTTTTTTAATATTTAAGAACTTATATTTGTTCTATAACTATTTTATTTTGTTATATTATTACTTTTATCATAAACTAGGGGAGAACAAAAGTATTGCACGATTTTGATTTAGATATTTTAGTTAATTTATTATATGTAACTGGGCCATATTTTTTTAGTAACATATTAGCTGGCTTATGCTTAATAAAATATTTAAATAATTGATAAAATTAAAGCATTGCAAGGTGTAAAATCGAAAATTTAAAAAACATATTACTTTTCAATTTATCGCATGTACTAAGCTTCAATATCAGATTCTATATTTGGTTTTTTAGATGTTTCTCTTGCAAAAGAAACCAAATTATTATTGTATAATGATATCCTATAATATTTATGATTTCTGAGTTACTGAACCAAATTTTTTGCTTTAATAATGCTCTTTTTTTCTAAAAGATAAGTTCTTTAATTATACTATTACTTGCGTTAAAGCGAATTTTGTGAGTATTTTCAAATTCGATTTAACGAATTACAACATATTAATTCAAACTATAATAAAAATATTTCATTTATGTAAATGATAATCAATATATTACAAAAAATATGGCTTAGTTACATATGATAAATTAACTAAAATATCTAAATCAAAATTGTGCAATACTTTTGTTTTCCTTCAGCATATATCTAACAATTAGAGATCTTCACTTTATCTTTTGAAACTTTAAGAAATACTTACAAAATAATATTGCAAATATTAAGATACAATATCTTATAGTCGATTTTATACTTCATAAATTAAATGAATATTAAGATATTATTAATAATACATTAATATCATTAGTATTAGATTCACATATAAAATATTATATTTTTATTCAAGCGGAAAATACAAAAGCAATTAATACTACTAAGAAAAAATGGATTCTTATAATCAAAATAATAATACTACTACTATAATAATGGCTACATTATCTTCTAATCAATTATGAATAGTATTTAATAGAATTAATGCAGTGTAAATTTAGAAGTTTAGTAATCAATTTGTCTTACAATATAATTTATATCAAATAATGAATTAGAAAGATATTTGTCATTATCTTAAGATAAATATTGTAATTCTTTAATGTGATGGAAGGTATATTAAAAATATTTTCCAACTCTTTCAATAATAGCTAAAGATTATCTTGTTTTTCAATCATTTTAGTATCATGTAAACAAGCATTTTCCATAGCTGGTTTAACTATTTTCAAGTTAAAAAATTAGTTAAATCCAGAAACTGCTTGTGCATTATTATATTTAAAAAGCTGGATTTCTGAAAAAATTGGTGAGAGTAATAATATAAATGATCAACCTGATAATAATAATAAAAGTGAGCAATTAAGTATGAATAAATTTTAATTTTTAAATTTTCAAAAAATTAGTATATGAAATGTTTTCAGTAAATCAAGTCATAAGACATAGTAAATTGTATGATCTGTAATGTGATTTGACTGGAAACGCTCCTATATAATTATTTTTAATATTATATTCAACCAGTAACTCGAACTGGAAAAATGAAAGTTTAAAAAAAATAAATAATGATTATAAAATAAAAGAAAATTAAAAACTAAATAACTAAAAAAAATAAAATAATTATAATAAAATTAATATTAAAACAAAATAATTAGATCCACTATCTAATAAAAAAAAAGGTAAAAAAAAAAAATATAAAAATTACTAATTTTATTAACAAAATTAAAACAAAAAAAAATATAATATAAGCTTTTTAATTCAACAAGGTGAAGATGGAATCCACTTCCGTCTTTTTCAGCTAGTTGCTTAATTTATTCTATAAGATATTGACGAATCCTAAACAATGCTATTAGCACCTTTTCTCTTCCATTCAGTTCTCCAATATTAAGGCTATCTCTTTTACTTGTCTTACTTGCATCCTCTGGCCATCTTTTAATAACAATAGATTGCTCTTTTAGTAAGCCATATTTGAGCTTCTTCTAATATTCTTTATAGATTACAGCTTTGTAAATGTGAAATACGTGGAGATAAAGTGAATAGCAAATATTGTTTGATCCAAAATTACACCATTTAAACGATTATTTTTATCTCAGTTGCGAGGATCTCTGCACCTATTTGTAATTCTTCATAATCATTTGTCTTATTAAGTTTTTGTTGTGCAATACTTTATTCTATCAAAAGAAAGTGCTTGAGTTAATAAAAAAATAAGTATTATATTATTTTCAATTTATAAAAACATACAAACCTCTATAAGAACCAGAAAAATAAAATCAAGGTAACATTCAGAATGCCTTAGTATTTCGAGGTCAGGTGTCGCTGAAATGTATGGCTCTTTTAGGACAAGTAGATTATTGCTAGAACGCAGTCTAAGTCATATATAGTAAAAAAATTTTGAGCATGATGTCAAACAAAAAAAGTCTTTTCTCACCTAATTCCTGTGGTATCTGTACTCAAATTCAAAATTTGGTTTAATAAATGGCATAAAAGTTCATAACAGTCTCATTTGCATTTTTTTTTATTTCTAATTTCTTGATGTTTGTCAATACTTTTATAAATTCAATTTCACTTGCATCGTAAATTTTAGAAAGGTTTTTTATATCAAGACTACTGTTTATAATGTCAAAGCCAGGTAGAAAGTATTTTTTTGGAAGGTCTTTGACTAAACAATATTTTAACTTATAAGTATCAGGTTCGCAAAGAGAATAATTAAAACAGCATAAGTTTGTACCTATGCAACAAGGGATATCCGAGCTAGTTAGAAACTTGCTTTTAATAATTTCAAGTCATTATTACCAAATCTTGATGCCATCATTTTAAAGTTGAGAAGTCTAATTTTCTTAATTAAATCTCTGATTATATTTCGTGATTCCTTAAGTTCATTATTATGAATAACACCGGTTGATGAGATAAATGATTTGATTTTTTGAATTTCCGCACACTTTTATAAATTTTTGTGCAAAGCTGCATACATATCTGATATGATGTATAACACTTGAAAATGAGACGCAGTGATTTTTTAAAAAAATAATTTTTTTCTTTAATTGAACATTATTTTCTGGTTATAGCCAAAATGATCAACATTAATAAATAAATAATTTAAAACAAAATAAATAAAATATTTTACAAAATCAAACAATTAATAAAAAAAAATATTTTTTTATTTATTGGAAATTATGAAGATTTTTTTAGGAGAGTTATCCACTTTATTTTGTTTAAAAAATTAAGACCAGATTTTTACAGAAATTGGAACTGTATGGAATGCAATTTAACTATTGAGACAGCTGATTATTTATGGTAATGTGATGCTTATTCATCAAAACTAATGACTATCATTTCTAACATAAAGTCTCAGATTATAACCTTAATTTCAAAATGCTTTACCAGTAATGCTACTCTTAAATAAACATGTTGCATACCCATCAGATAGAATTAGTTCCTTTCTACCTATTATTCAAGGAAAATTTACCTTCTGTATTATTTGATGATCTCACAAATCTGATTAGAACTTCTAAGAAAACTAATAGGATTTTACAACTGCAATCGTTGTCCTTTATGAGTAGTTATTTACTAAAATTTGGTCATATCGCTGCTCTCTTATGAATGCTAAAGAATTATCAAAATACACATAAAAAACATGAAGAAGTAATATATATATTTGTTTTACAATAATTGTATAGCACTGACTAATACTTGGAAGTTATGGATTCAACTTGTTCTTATATATGAATATAATTGGATGGATTTTTAAACCAGTTCTGACATGTTCTTTTTTTTTCTTGATAAGTTTAGTAGTCATTGGACTAGTTCTTTTGGATCTAAATGAGGAAATTGATGATGATAGGTCAATCTAAATGGTTAGGTATGTTTACATATTCTATTATCGTGAGGTAGCTAACATTTAGTTTAGATTATTAGATAGTTTTTATTTTGGTTTGTTTTCATTACTTGTAATTTCTTTTATTTTCTTAAGAAAAATCTATAAATCTTACGTATTTTTTGATTTCTACAATTTTAATTAATAAATAAAACTATATTAATTAGGCTAGATTTGCTATTATTTTAAATATTTAGCAAAATTATCAATAAATTTAAAATATTACAAGATTTTGATAATTAAATAAAACCTATAATACTAAGTAAAATTGTATATCTGGTAATTTTCTACAATATTACTTATTACAAAAAATTATTATTATATATTAAAATGTTGCGTTAAATTAAAATTCATTAAAATTTAGCTTAAATTCTTAATTCAGGTAAAATTATAAATCACATGATGATGTAATTACATACTTACGTTTCATATTACGTTTTGGAAAAACAATTACTATGACATGTATAAATATACTATTCTAATAAATAATAAAAATATAATAAAAAAAATAAAGAACAAGCATCACAAACCTATACAAATAATTGATTAAACTAATATAAATTGATTGAATAATATTAGCCCCAAATAAATAATCAAAAAATGATAAAAAGTTATATTGTTATTTTTACACAAATTACAACTATATATTAATAGTACAGTAGCCACCAAATTTTTTAAATCAAAAAAGCAATAGAGGCAAAAAGTATGAATATCTGAAATGGTAAAAGTATTATTAGAAAGAATGTTTTTATTTGGGAATATTAAAAGTTAAAAAAATGAGTATGCAAAAAGTAAAATAAATGCATAAGAAATGCAATAAGAATTATTAAACTATGTTAAATAAGAAGAAATAGAAGAATTAGAAGTTCCAAAGATATCAATAATCCAAAATTGGATTCACACATTTTCAAATTCTTTTAAATGTTTAGTATTACAGCAAATATTACAAAATAGTTTATAATAATATTATTTTTCTTTTACATTAATCTATAGTTTGATATTAATACTTGAATGTAATAGTTTGCTTCTCAAATTTGTCATAAGCATAAAGTAAAAACTTTTTTATGAATAATATATTATAGTTTTTATTTAACAATAATCTTTTTCTGCTATTGGTGTATTTGATTATGCAAAAAATATGGAATTTGGTATAATATGATCAACTTTCTATTTGTAAACATTTTTGATATCTATATAAATTGATTAATAAAAAACCCCTTAATATGATATAAACATTTGGTTAGCAGATTGACAATTAACTAATTTATACCTGAATATAATATCTACTAATTTCTATCTATTGATTGTTGATCAAAAAATAATGATCAATTGGAATGATATCTGATTAAACTGTATTTGATCTGAGTTATTTGTATTTACTATTATAAAAGATTAAATAAACTTATTAATAGATAAGAGAAAGTAGAAAATAGAAATTATTTGTAAAATATTTTGATTATATGTATAAGAATAAAACTATATAATAACAGAAAATATTATAAAAATACATATTTCTATAATTAAACTAACCTCCATTTCTATTGATATTATATCAATTAATTTTAATATGCTAATCCATATAGAAACCATATCTTAATACCAAAGAAAATACCATCTGTTATTGTAATAAAAATGAATACTTTATTCTATAATTCTGAAAATAATAATAATAAATATATAATAAATAACAAATGAAAATATTAGAAAATAAAAATGAATCTGATTTTAATTTAAGTAAAGATATTTTTATATTAATTCTTAATAGAAAAGAAATAAGGTTAGAGATAAGATATATGTATATAATATTCCTTTATTCTATTATACAATTCAATTATCGCAATTATAAACGAAAAAAACATCACAATAAACGTCATTTTGAAATAAGTAATTAATATTTTTTTCGATTATATAATTATATATTAATATAAAGGTTACTTTAAATTTCTATGTATATTTGGAGGAAACTGAAAATTTATATGGCCTTTTTCTAATCGCTTTAAATATACTCTTTTATTCGTTTAATTAATGAGGTAAGAATTTAAACAATTACGATTAGAAAAATTTAATCAATTGTAATTTGATTTCATATATTCATTTTGCGAATTATATTTTACATACTTTCAATTACTACAAAGAAAAATTTTAAAGTAACTGAATTATAATATAAGCAATTTTTGAAAATAAAAAGAATAGAATAATAATTTTATTCTGTGTTTTTCACATAAATCATCAAATCAATTCCATTGGAATTGTGAAGACGTTAAGATTCCCACTTACTTTAAAAAATGTGATAGCTACTACTCAAAAAACATGTCAAAAATATTATTATTTTTTTTTTTAAAAAAATAAAACAAATAACTTACTTATTTACAATGAAATCAGTCATGGTTGTATTTAATGCGAACTTTGGAATCAAAGTTAACATAACACAATTTGATTCCCTGTAGTACGTCATATCATAGATCTAGATTTTATTGCTGATCTGATTATTGCTGGATAAAATTTTTTTGATGCTTTAAAGAGATTATATTATCATTTACTTCATGCGACAATTAATAAAGGTTAAGGTGAAAAATAAACTTGAGTCATGTGACATTTAAACCAATTTCTGATTTATAATTTCCTCTTCTCGCTTCTCAAGATAAGTTATCCCAAATCTTAAACGTTAATTGTTATTGATCTGAATTAATTTTCGATCGGGTCAATGTCGTAATTAAAAACCAGAGATCCGAATTAAAACTAACCCTTCGAGTCATAGTGGAAGTAGCACATGAAATCTGGAAATCAATAATTTTGTTGAATGCAATGTAATTACAAAAAAATATATTTTTTTTAAAAGAAAAATTGAAAAACTTACCTTTGATTTATTATTCAATCCAAGATTTAGGATTCCGGAGGAGCTTTGGCATCTACAAAGCGAGGAAATTAATAAATTTTTTTTTAAAACAGCTATACTATCCAGTATTTCCAGAAATTCAGATTTATCAAAGAGAGAATCAATAATTAATGAATTCTTCTTTAGTATATATTCAATTCATTAAGATATTTAACACACAATTTAGCATTACAGCCGTATATTCATATTAACTTGACAATGACAATTTGGCAATTAGGCATATTATTTCGGCATTGTCTTAACCTTAATTCATCCTATGTATAATTCAAACACAATTCCTGGAGTTTCATATATATTTATCGTGAACCAACATCAATTTGGAGGCATATCATAATTTTCTAGAGAAGCCAAAAGAAATATGGCAATATGTGGAAGCTCATCCAAGTAATACTGTAAAATAAGAGGAATTAGATTAGGCAGAGTGAATTTCCTAGAACTAACGATAATAAAGCTAAATACTAAACTGACCAATGATAGATGGAGCTATAATTGATAACTTCATGAAAGTTATTGCTGGAGGTGCTGATACAACCACAACCACAAGTTACTTAATTGCTTATTCAATGGCTCAATACCACGAAGTAGAGAAAAGAAATTAATTCAAATATACATGTGATAAAAAATTAACTAAACTAACTTCCTAATTGGCTGTCATTTGAAGAATTTTCTCAAAACTTTCCAAATAATTTAAGAAGGTTTGCTGTAATTTAAGAAGATTTGACAATACTCAACTTTTATGCAACACTATGTTATGAATATGCATAAGGCTTGGACGAATCCTGAAGAATTCTACTATAATTTGAATTTTTCACGTATCAGAAATTAAAATTGATGATAATTTTTATATTTTGGCAGATTCGAAATTAAACTATGATGGAATTGAGAAAATGTACTTTTTTTGTCAGCTTAATAGCTTAAAATTTTGCTAAAGATGTTTACGTTTCTCAAAATTTTTAAATAGTTAACCATAAAAGATGACAAATTCTAGTTCATAATATCTTTTTCAGTTGTTTCAAAAAAATATAATTTTTTACGATGATTTGATTATGTCACGTGCAATAGTTATTCAACTATTTGTATCACTTGTAATGCAATTGCATGATAAAACTTGATTTTTGGGGATATATAAAAGGGCAAATTTAACCTAGACCTTGAGGTTTAGGTAATTTAAAATAGACCAGAAAAGTTCAGATTATCTTATATAAACCAGTGAGGTTCATATTTTAATCTAGACCTTTGTGTAATCACGTACAATTACACAATCATGTACTTGCGCATTTGAATTTTATTTTCCAATTATATTAATGCATCGCGTAGTACTTTATTTTATTTTAGCAGGTTTTCAAATTACGTTATACTTGGTAATAAATACTATTTTATTTAAAAACTTATAATATCTGAGTTTTCAACTCCCTTAATTTCAAACCTGTCCTATCAACCTCAAATAAATAATACATTTGAAAGTCATGAAGAATTTGTAGATAAAATCAAGAATTATGCATATGAACTTCGTTTTACAATTAGGCTTGGAAAGGTTGAATATAATGGTTCTAGAAAAACAAATTCTAAGGAATCTGAAGAGAATTCTTCAACAATTACTGTAGAAAAAAAATTAGAAAAAGAACATTATTATGCTCTTGAGCTGATCATACTGAATCAAAAGATAACTCAGAAAGTGTAAATATAAACAGTAAAGGACGTGGAAAATCATCTCAACGTTGTGACTGTCCTTTTTATATCCGTGCTTCTTTAAATAGTTTTAATGGTTTATGGTATATTATTAATATGAAACTTATTCATAATCATCACATGGTTGATGAAAATCATCAATATTTTATGTTTAATGAATGAAGTATTCCTGATGATTTTAAGAAAAGAATAGAAATATTACGACGTACTGTGTGGATATTGCAACAATTCGTTCAATTTTGAAAGAAGAATTTGGTGATTATGTTACATGTATATATAGTAATATTTATAACTTTATCTATAAATTAGAAGGTTCCAGATCAAATAAAAAGAATTGGATGCCGATGAATTTATAAAAATATTGGAACAGTTTAAGCATAATGATAAGAATTTCTTTATTTTACTGATATTAATAAAGATGCAAATCGATTAAAATGAGTTATATGGATGTTTCCAGAACAATGCATGAATTATTGTAGATTTTATGATATAGTAATTTTTGATAATACATATAAAACAAACCAGTTTAAAATGTCATTTAGTATTTTTACAGGAGTTAACAATTATGGATGCAGTATATGTTTTGCTGACACATTGATGATTGATGAAACGGAAGACAATTTTTTGTGGGTATTTACTAAATTTCTTTAAATGGTTAATCAGCATGCACCATTGGTTATACTTACAGATGATGATCACGCAATGGCAAATGCTTATACAAAATTTTAAAACCAATGGGCACAAAGCATCGTTTATGTCAATAGCATCTAATAAAAAAGGTGATGAAAAATTTATGTTCAAAGCTTGGTTCAAACTGGTCAACATTTATTAGGGATATTTATAAATGCTTTGAAAAAATAGATATTCAAAAGTTTCTTACACATTGGAAATTATTGAAAACACTTTATTGTTCTGCATTAACATATTTGTTACGCATGGAGAAAACAAAAGAGAAATGGGTTGGATGTTTTAATCATGATATATTTATGGTTGACATGACTACTACTCAACATGGAGAATCTATGAATAATATGATGAATGGTTATTTAGATGCAAGTACATCTTTAAGAAATTTATTAATGCATTTTAATTAGCATTAGAAACACAAAATAAAAAGACCGAATTTCAAATATATAAATAAACAAACTTTAATATTTTATACAAAACCACATGCCCACTTGAACGTCAAGCAGCATCTATATTAACCACTTATTCTTTAATGAAAACTCAGGAACAATTAATGCAATCTTTTACATACAAATGTGAAGAAATTCCAAAGTAATATATTTTATATATATAATTTATTTTATATTAAATTATTTATCAAAATAACTTTTTAAAATATATGCATATAGAGAAACAAATACAATTTTTCGAATTCAAAGATATGAAAAAGAAACAAATGGAAGAATTGTGAAATATTATCCTAAATCGGATCATTTTACATGTGATTGTAAATATACTCAATTTTCAGGTTTCATATGTCGACATATATTTCGATCTGCAATACAATTAAATTTAGAAGAGCTTTCAATTAGTCTTTTTTATGAACGATGGAGAAAAAATCCAAGTGAAAAGAATCTTATTAATACTTATACCAACTTTTATTCTATCGCAACTTCAACAATTCTATCTTCACAACATTTATCTTTAACATTCAGTAATGGATCTGATGACTTTCAATATATGCTTACTCGACTATTACATAAGATTCAGCAATTTGTAATACAAAATCCTAATATAGCTAAAACATTATATACTTCGATTAATACAATATATAATTCTGAAATTGAAAAAATAAATAAAATACAAACACCATCAAATTTAAAAGTTATATCAACAATAAAAAACCCATTGGTAGTTCATGGAAAAGAACGATCATCTAATAAGAGAATTACAAGTACAATGGAATCTACTAGCAAATCTAATAGGAAAAAAAAATTTAATGAAAATAATAATAGATTTACACAAAATACACAACAATTACTTGAAAATCAATCCCTTAATATCTTACCTTTACAACAATTTCGATGTCCTAGTCCGCCTTCTACTCAATTTCAATTTTTTTCTGAAACTGAATTTATTTTTAATGAATTAAATTTGGGTAAGTAATCTTTTTAAATATGAAATTTAATAATAGTTAAATTTGTTTTAATTTTCATATTTACTCAATTAAAATTTAGAAGAAAGTCAAGAAAAAGAAAAAAATGAGCAATATTTATATTGTGGAGAAATTTTTTCAAATCCATTACCATCGAAAGTTTTAGAATATTTAAATGATATTATATCAGGAAGAAGTAAGTATTATATATAATATTACTGAAAAATATATTTATTAAATTAATATTAACGTTAATTATTCTTAATTTAATTAGAACTTATTCGTTTTGTAATTGACCAGCAAGAATTTTGTCAGATTCATATAGGAGAAGTAAGGATTATTCCTTATGGGATTGCTAAAGGATATCTATTACATATAGATTTTACAAATTTATCTTATCGAATTACAAATATGAAGTCAGAATTACTAAAAATTATAAAAGGTCAACGGTATAGTGAATATTGTGTAAATGCTATCAAAAGAATTCAAGAAATTGGCACATCAAAAGTAAATATGCCATTAATGCAAATTAAATATTTTGAAAGTTTTCAAGTAAGTCAACTTAATTATTTTTATTAAATTTAGTGTGATCAATTCATTAATTTCTTATTATTCTGGATATTATGGTTTTAAGGGCTTAGAAATTATCTCAAAAATTTGATTGAGATGTTTGTTCGAACTGGAATATTAACCACAGAACTTTGCGCATCACAATCATCTTCTCAATATATAGATCAAGTTTTAGTTCCTGAAATTGGTATTAGACTTATTTCAGAGGATTTTAAAGTAATTTCTTTAAATGTTGCGAAAGACATTATGATTGATAGTATTGAATTTGGATCATATGTTCATGTTGGTAACAATTAATAAAGTTTTGAAATAAATATTCATTTTATTCAAAATGATTAAATTTACACAAATAGAAATTACATTAAGACATTTCGTATAACTCTATATGAGTATATAAATAATTTTACATATAAAATTTATTACTAAGTTCATTCTGAAGTTGTTATAAACGAACAAGTGCATACACTTATAAAATTTCTAAAAGTTAGAGAACGATACTAAAGTAGATTTTTTAAAAAGAAAACTCTCTGAAAATACCTTTCAAGCCAAAACTTCATTTGTTTCTATAGATTTGTATTTTCCAGGATTCGTTTAAAACCTTATATACAACTAGTAAAACTAAGTTCCTTTTATTTGTAATTTAAAAGAACATAAATAGAAGAACTGGATTTTTGTAAAATTAAAAAGTTTCAAAACGGTCTTAAAAGAATAAAAAGAATAATAGCATAAACCCGAATAAAAATTTCTTTGAAATTATGTTCTGCTTCTTATTTCTAATTCTCTCGAATCTTAGATAATTTTTGTTTTACACGTACTTTTGGAGTTTGAATTTTTTTGCCAAAATGCAGTTGGGAGGTCTAGCTTAATTTGTCTATACAACGGTGATATACTGTAGTTGGCCTAACACCCGTAGGATAAGGACGCTCTATATAAAACTACTTTCTCATGCATAAAATTAAAATTTTTTTTTTCAATAACTTTTTTCGTAATATTACTTGTTTTTTAATTTTTACTAAACTTCCGTAAATAGTTCACATTAATGATAGTGCGTGTGGCAAGAAATTTATGGTTAAGAAGCACATTCGAGGTATTAGAAATAGCAACTAAAAAACTGAAGCGGTAAGTAACATAAATAGCTGCCTTTTTTCTTTACTAACGGTTCTTTATTTTTCGTGTTTTATAGAGCTTGAAAAATTTTTTTAACATGCTCAATAAACTTTATATTTTTTTTTAGACGAACATTTGCAATCAAATAAATGCAAAATACACCTCCTTCTCGTTCTCGCACTCGTTATCTTTTTTTAATTTTGAAATACTTGATTTCTCGTATTCCACAAACAGGGATTGCTGGGTTGACTGTGCGAACCTTGCAGGATGATATGTGAGTATGAATATTAATGGTTTTCATTAAACGTGAAAGTTAGAACATGTACCAACTGTTATACATTCTTTTTTTTTCAGATGAATATGATTTAACAATAATCAATTCAAATCAAAAAATTTTATCAAATTTTTACATAAACCTTTTTGGAAAATGACACCTTCTGTCGCAAACTCGACTGCCAACTTGTTGAGGACTTGATAGATGAAGGTTTTGAACCTAATGGACAGGGTGAGTATTTTTCGCAGAGTTATTTGTCCAGCCGTTGTGAATATTGATTTTCATGACACATATGCTTAATATATTTTTATTCTTATTCTTTATTTGTTGTAATACAGAGGAGGGATTAACATAAAAGTCAAAGTTGATGGGACAAATTTCTTAATCCAAAGCAAAAATTGGAAACGAAATTTTGTATGTATTAATCGATTATGTTTATTTAGTTTGAGTATGAATTAATCTATTTTTTATGATTATAGTTCTCGGGATAGTAAGGGAAATGGATGGGGTGCTCACTCGGCACCAGAAAGAGTCGGTGTGATAGGCACGAAGGAGACGGAAAAAACGTCACCTTTTAAAATAATTTTGACAGACCGCGCCAATTTCATACATAATTTAAAAGTAATTGCCACTGATCGGTAGCGAAAGTTCATTTTATCAATTATCCGTTTGTTTTAATATTTTTTTTGTTTTTACTTGTAATATGTATTATTTTTATATTTTGTTACAATAGAATTTTTCCTTAGGCATTTATCTAATTGGATATATAAACTTATATATGTCGCAAATCCAACACTGGCAATGATATATAATCAATCGCATTTACTTTGCATAGATTTGAGATTTATAATATCGGTCGTAAACGTTGATTTTTATTTCAAACGAAATTTTACAAAATGGAGTGAGTGCTGCGAAAAGGGACCAAAATTGTAAAAAAAACTTTTTTAAAATAATTAAAGTTCTGAATCAAACGATAAAATTACATCTAATTCACTTGGGAATAAATATTTGAAAAAAATTTCAATTTGGTCCTTTTTCGCAGCACTCATCACAATTGTTGTATATAAAAAAAGAACGATCGTTACAAATTTTGATATGAAAAGAACATAATATATTCTAGGCAAATCATGTTAAAGAAAGAAACATTCATTGAAGGAATTTTTTTTAACAAATATAACAATTCGAATATCTCTATTCATTGTAATGGAAGTGCCGTTGCTATGAAACATATTTTCGAAGTGAAGGGATTCTATAAAATTAGTTCGTGATTCCAGCTTACGGAGGGGAATCTTTGCATTTCCGATGATTAAATAAAATTCCTCAATTTACCATTTGAATCCTAAAATAAAAAAAAATTAATCTTTCCAGATACGAAGTGTCCCGGTTAAAGGATCTGATCTCTGAATCGCCATAACGTCTATATTCTTTTTCGAAACTTCCAGAATTATGTGTCAATGATCGAATAAGCAGGAATATTGTTATTATGCAAACTATGAGGTTCAAAAGTCCGGGATATGATCTTTTGTGACCATCCGGGGTCGAATTATGAATTAATCCAATTAATTCTTTAAATTTTACGAGTGCCCATATCACCTTTATAAATACTATCGATATCGTTTTTAAAATTGAAAGTTGTTACATAAAAAATATATATGTAATTATTTTTTAAAAAAAAACAAAACGTCATAAATAAATTTTGCAGCTTAATTTTTTTTTTTTAATATTTTCAATCTTTCGGGTTGTTTTAATAAGTAATCACTTTATGTTTGCTATTTATATATTTTCAATCTAATTCTTTTGTTTGTTTTTTAGGTTCTTTGATCAAATAATTTGTAAAGTCCATTTAACTATAATATAATTATTATTATTTTAGCACTTTCTCTTCATACCGCAGCGCTCATTGAATAATGAATTATCGTATTATTTAAATTAATTTTATTTTTTTGATTTCGGGTTCGACTTTGCTCAAGATAAGTTTTCTTTTAAGTATATTTTTTAATTTGTTCGTTTATCTATTCTTAGTACACTATTTTTTAGGTTTTCGATCATAGCGATCAAATGCTTGGATTTTCTGATACGTATTACATCAGGAAAGTATTTGAGGCGAATTACTCCGCAAATAATACTCTTCCGTATATTTACGAAGTATTACGATTGAAATTCTTCGTAGATATTACGGCTCCGTAAACCTTCGAAGTACTTCGACCGCAGTACTTCGAAGATATTACATTTTCGTAAATCTTCGGAGTGCTTCGACCGTAGTACATCGCATTAGAAGATAATCGTATACTTACGGATTAATTTTTCTAAATTTGAATTAATTAAATTAATTAATTTTTTACAAAAAATGTAAATAATACAAAACCTTTCATGGCGTTCAAAGTAATCTAGGAGAACATGCAAAATTACTATCAATAATGTGAATTTGAAGCTTTAATATTTGTAGAGGTTGGAACCGGCCCAAAAATCCTTAACCGGTTAAATTTAACTCAGGCCGGCACTATAAATTTGGGCAAAACT